TGTCACTTGAGTTATTCATCTTAGCCATTCTGATGGGTGTAAGGTGAAATTTCAGGGTCATTTTGATTTGCATCTCCCTGATGGCTAAAGATGTTGAGAATCTCTTTAAGTGTTTCTCTGCCATTCTATATTCCTCTACAGTGAATTCTCTGTTTAGCTCCGTACCCCATTTTTTAATTGGATTACTTGATTTATTGCTTTTTAACTTCTTTAGTTCTTTATATATTGGGGATATCAGCCCTCTGTCAGATGTAGGGTTGGTGAAGATCCTTTCCCAGTCTGTAGACTGTCGTTTTGTTCTGACAACAGTGTCTTTTGCTTTACAGAAGCTTTTCAGTTTCATGAGGTCTCATTTATTGATTGTTGCTCTTAGAGCCTGTGCTGTTGGTGTTCTGTTCAGGAAGTTGTTTCCCGTGCCAATGAGTTCTAGGCTCCTCCCCACTTTTTCTTCTAACCTATTTAGAGCATCTGATTTTATGTTGAGGTCTTTGATCCACTTGGACTTTAGTTTTGTGCTGGGTGATAAATATGGATCTATTTTCATTTTCTACATGTAGACATCCAGTAGGACCAGCACCATTTGTTGAAGATGCTGTCTTTTTTCCATTGAATGGTTTTGGCTTCTTTGTCAAACATCAAGTATTCATAGGTGTGTGGGTTTATTTCTGGGTCTTCTATTTGGTTCCATTGATCCTCCTTTCTGTTTCTATGCCAATACAATGCAGTTTTATTACTATTGCTCTGTAGTACAGCTTAAGATCGGGGATGGAGATACCTCCAGATGATCTGTTGTTGTACAGGATCGTTTTAGAGATTCTGGGTTTTTTTGTTTCTCCATATGAAGCTAAGAATCTTTCTTTCAAGGTCTGTAAAGAACTGAGTTGGAATTTTGATGGGAATTGTGTTGAATCTGTAGATTGCTTTTGGCAGAATGGCCATTTTCACAATGTTAATCCTACCAATCCATGAGCACAGGAGATCTTTCCATCTTCTGATATATTCTTCAATTTCTTTCTTCAGAGACTTGAAATGTTTTTTCAAACAGGTCTTTCACTTGCTTGGTTAGATTTACCCCAAGGTACTTTATGTTATTAGTGGCTATTGTGAATGGTGTTGTTTCCCTGATTTCTTTCTCTGTCCTTTTGTCTTTGGTATACAGGACGGCTTCTGATTTTTTTGCGTTGATTTTGTATCCATCCACTTTGTTGAAGGTGTTAATCAGCTGAAGTTGTTCTCTGATTGAATTTTTGGGGTCGCTCATGCATACTATCATATCATCTGTGAATAGTGACACTTTGACCTCTTCCTTTCCAATTTGTATCCCCTGGATCTCCTTTAGTTGTCTTATTGCTTTAGCTAAGACTTCAAGTACTATGTTGAATAGATACGGAGAGAGTTGGCAGCCTTACCTTGTCCCTGATTTCAGTGGGATTGATTTAAGTTTCTCTCCATTGAGTGGGATGTTGGCTATAAGCTTGCTGTATATTGCCTTTACTATGTTTAGGTATGTGTATCCCTGATCTCTCCAAGACTTTAAACCGGGAGACTTTTGTAGAGAGAGTTTGAAGAAAGAACAAGCTAGAAGTGAAGACAGAATAAGCCACAGAATGAGAAGGAGTCAAAAGATTAGAACAGATTGTTAAAATTATTGTTAAAATTAGTTTGAAGCCAAGCAATTCAGTCAGAAGTTGAGAGAAGCCAGTTTGAATCAGCCTTCTTGGAGAAGAGTTTGCGACAGAATAGCTGAGTTGAAGCAGTCAGCTTGCATAAACTTGTACAGCCACTATGGAAATCAATATTACAGTTCCTTAGAAAATTGGGAATTGATCTACCTCAAGTCCCAGCTATACGACTCTTGTTCATACACCCAAAGATACGCCATCCTAACACAAAGACACTTGTTCAACCATATTTACTGTGGTTTTATTCATAACACCTAGAAGCTGGAACAATTTAGATGTACCTCAACAGCAAAATGGATAAAGGAAATGTGGCATATTTACACAATGGAGAATTATTCAACTGCTAAAAAAGAAGACATTATGAAGTTTTCAGGCAAATGAAGGAACTGGAAAAAAAAAATCATCCTGAGTGAGGTTACCCAGAGCCATAAAGACAAATATGGCATGTAGGTAATCACTTATAAGCGGCTATTACTAAACAACCTACTATTCAGAGGCTTGGAGAGGTTAGGTAAAGAAGAATAGCCTGGAAACACACACACAGGTCTCTGAGGGGGGCATAAAATAGATTTCACGGGGAGACTGGGTTCTGGTACAGATCAGATGTGGAGGATAGGATGAAGGGGAGAGCTTTTGAAGAACTGGCTGGAATTGGGAGCATTTGGAGGGTGATGCGGAAACCAGCACAGTGGAAACTTCTTGGAATGTATGAAGGTAATCCTAGTGTCAACTCCTAGTAATTGGGGATGAAGAGTCTCACCTGGCCATCACTTGTTGCCAGGTGAGGCTTCCAGTAGCAGGACTTCGTAGCATTGAATTGAATTTCTGGCCAAGGGGATCCCATAGAAATCCCCAAACAACCAAGGCTGTTGTGAAGACAAAGGGTTGCTCTCTGCAAACTTAGAACAGGGCCCCATTGCTGAGGACAACAGCCACACAACTCACTGAACATGGAAAAATGAGCTGGTGCCTACATGAAGCCTTCATTCCTACATTCTAGTTTCTTTGATGCAGGAAGGTACTCTGCAGACACCAAAAAAAAAAAAAAAAAAAAAAAAAAAAAAAAAAAAATGTGGACACCAACCCAGCCACAAAGTCTTTGACCTACAATCTGTGGGGCAATGATGACACAGAGTTTGTGGGAGTAGCCAACCAGTGTCTTGACTTATGGCCTACTCCATGGGGAAAGAACCCATACTCAACACTACTTGGGTAAGCAAGAACCAGAAACTAGACAGGCCAAAAACCTTGGTTACGAAACGTGACTGGTAAAATCAAAGACAAAACAATAAAATGATTCCTAATGTCATCCTGCTAAACTCATAGATCAGTGCTGTATCCAGTCACCATTAGAGAGGCTTCCTCTGGCAGCAGATGGGAACAGTGCAGAGACCCACAGCCAGATCATGTGGGGAGAGAGTGTAAATTGGAGCTCTCTATCTAATCCCTTCCCTCAGAGCTCAGGGAATCTTGAGGCAGGGGAAAGTCAAAGGATTATAAGAGTCAGAGGGGATGGAGGTCACCAGGGGAACATAAGCTTCTGTGTCAACTAAGTAAGGTGTATTCAGCTCACAGAGACTGAAGCAGCAAGCTCAGGGCCTACATGGGTGCTCGGCAGGTCTTCAATGCATATATTATAGCTTTTTTTTTTTATGGGACCCCTGACTGTGAGGCCAAGGGAGCCTCTGACTCTTCCACCTGCTCTTGAGACTCTTTTCCTCCTATTGCTTTGCCTTGTCCACCTTCAAAATGACAGTTTTTTTGCTTCATCTTATATTTTATTTTGTCATGTTTGGTTGTTATCTCTCATTTTTAATGAGATCCAGAAAAGGAGTGGATCTGGAGTGAGTGGAGGGGAGGAGGGAAAATTGGGAGGAGTGGAGGGAGGTGAAATTATAAACAGGATATATTTATGAGAAAAAAAATCTACTTTCTATAAAGAAATAAAATCTACATTTAATTATTTAAAAAAGAGGAAACATCATTATTATTCAAGTACTGTTTTATCTATTTTCTCTCTTCCCACTACAATGTTTCACCTAACATTATTTTCAGTATCATTCTCTGCTCAGATGGTACATTCTTCTAGATTTTTCTCTGCTTCTCTCCGTCATTTAAGGTTGAAAGGTAGTCAATGTGTGAAGCATTCAGTACTGATTTTGCTTTTAGTATTTGAGTTTTTTTTTCCTCTAAATTTCCCTGTTATTGTACACCTCATCAACAAAATAATTAGGTCACTTTATCAACGGCACATGAAAATGAACCGGTATAATTTTATCATCTATTGATAACTTACCCATAGCTTGGAGAGTACTGGAGGGCTCTTTTCATCATCTCTTCTTCAAACTGGAAGGTCTTTCCGTTTTCCATGGTGAAAGCAGCCGCCTTAAAGGGGAACATGTTTGGGTTTGGAGATCCAGGAGCCAGGGAGATGATGGTTTTCGGTGCATTGCTCATTATCTCAACTATGATGAATACGGAAAAGAAGAAAAAGATGCATTCACTGTGCTGTGATCTGAATGTGAGTGTCTCTGACCAATTCCTATATTAGAATCTAGTACTTTAATAGATACGATCTATTAAAGAAAGGATTATATCATGATAACTCTGCACTCAGAAATGGAATTGGGTCATCTCCCCCTGAGGGGGGAGCCGCCTTACCAGGCCACGGGAGAGGACAATGCAGCCAATTTTGATGAGAACTGATAGACTAAGATCAGAAAGGAGAGGAGAACCTCCCCTATCAGTGGACTTGGAGAGGGGCATGCATGCAGAAAGGGGAGGGAGGGTGGGATCGGGAGGGGAAGAGGGAGGGGCTTATGGGGGGATACAAAATGAATGAAGTGTAATTAATAAAAAATTAAAAAAAAAGAAATGGAATTGGCGTTCTTAAGAAAGAGGCTGAGCTGCAGTGAGAAGCATCATCTATTTAGAATTGCCTTTCCTGGGCACCTGATACTGGACTTGGCAGTCTCCAGGAAGGAGAGAAGAACATTCTTGCTATTTATTAAGTACTCACTGCTATTAGTCTGACATAGTGTTCTACTGTGCTAGTCTAAAAGAAATACAAAAGAACTTTTTTTCTAGGCTTCCTCACTTGTGGAGGTATGGAAGAATGGGGGTGGTAGAGAGAGACAGAGACAGAGAGACACAGAGAAAGATCGATTCTGGAATCATGCCAGGGGTCACCACAGCAGAAGACCTTTATTCCCATAGCCCAATAGCTTCCTATGTGCTTCTGAGCTCCACCTCTGGCTCCCACTTCCCACTCCACACACACTCACTGCTTTGCGTTTCCTCCAGCGCAAGTTCTTAGTGAACAAAAGTTATCTAATTCCTCCTAGGCTAATGCTTGCAGATTGCGGCCACACTTGAATGAAAGAGCTTAACCTAGGGGTGAGCCTTAACAGGACAGCCTGCAGAGTTTCCACAAAGAAAACTCCGCTCTTGCAGAGCAGGAGAGGCTCTGGTTTGTTTATTCACCTGTTGATCTGATGGCGGAAGGCTTTCTGGCCGCGCTGGTTGCAGTGAGGAACCTCGAATAATTCATGTCTCTGCTGGTCCCGAGGCGCACGACTAGGAAAGACAGTCGCATAGAACGGACTCCCAGCTCACTGGGGCTGCACCCTTAGCTGCCGGTGCATAAAGCTGCAGCCTGCCCGAAGGCCGACTCCCTCCGTGTCCGAGGTCTAAATAGGCCTGGGTCAGGAGGCAAGCAGGGACAAAGTCCGTCCTCAGAGACGGTAAGAGGCTCCGTGGCTGAGCCGGGTGGACTGCAGTAGGCTATGCCCTCTCTCGCCCCGCGCTCAGGCCTAAGGCAGCTGACAGCTGGCATCTTAAGTCACCAGTCTCTGAAGGCTGTGGTGAGGGGGAAAAGGCGAGACCCAGCTGTGATGCACAATCGCAACCGGGATCAGTGCACAAATCCACATAAAGGTAGCGTGAACTCTTGACCTTGAAGCTCTGATTAATTTTTTAATTTTTACTTTTTTATTATTAGTTACATTTTATTAACTCTGTATCTCAGCTGCATCCTGCTCCCTCATTCCCTCCCAATCCCACCCTCCCTCCCTCATCTCCTCCTCCCCTTTCATCTGACCCTGTTTTACCAGGCATCTTCAGGA